CTGTCCTTGTGGGTGCCACATGGTTTGGAGGCCCCCAGAACCCACCCCCCTCTCTCTCCCCTCCCGGCAACTGGTTACAACTGACTTATATGTTCCTGGATGAGTAAGCCACGTGCGTGTGTTGGGGTCATCCAGAATGAGATGTATTTTCCAGTAATTAAAGTCAGTTTTTATACCACCGTGCAGAGAAATCCACAGAGACAACAATTCTACAGAAAGATCAAGGAACCAAGTAGCTTTCCAGCCTTCTGGTTATATCATGCACTAGGGAGAGGGGAAGAGGATTGTTTACTTTAATTGAGAAGGGTAAACCCTTTGTATTGAAATGTCTAACCAAAGAAAGTCTCTGAGGGCCCTGGTCTGCCCTCAGTAACACTGCTGTAGCCCCAGTGAAGTTGCTACTGAAGACAGTTCCATGCTATAATAGACACTAATATTTCACCCTTAGGAAGTGTCTCCTCAACAGTAAGTGATGCAGAACATGAACTGATCGAGAATGCAGTCCAACTGCTACATGATAATTGGGCACTTGGGGACATGAAGTGACATGTTGCGCAAATGTTTTCTGGGAGGTCCCGCTGTAGCAAAGCCAGTTTGTTTCTAATGGTCTGTTGAATGCTACACATGTTTCTTCAGTGTGTATGGTACGGTTATTCTTTCTAATGATTTCAGAGTGCAGTCAGTGCGCCATATGACCGATGGTAAAATCTGATTCAAAATGACAAAGTTGCACGACCGCTGGAGGATTGGTAGAGATGGCCAAGTGAAGTGACACTCAGAAAATAAATAAATAAATTCCATAAACTAATGGTCAAATCTTGAAGACCTTATTAAGGACTTAAGTCTTTTATTTTTTTTATCTGAAGAATGTTAGAGACTGGAAGGCTATGTTGCATAACGTGACCGTTATGTCCTGGTTTGGCCGGGAATGTCCCAGCTTCCCGAGGCTGGCCCCAGCCAGTTGGTCAAAAGTCCTCATCTGGAGTCTGGCAGAGAGATGGAGTGGCATGGTGTGCCAAGCAGAAGTGTTATTGTCAGAGAGGCACGATGAGAGATGAGAACTAGGTTTTAGGCTATTTTAAAACTTTCACTTGTCTTTCAGGAGAGCAGTGAATTGTTGGCTGGTAAGTTTGTGAGGTCAGAAATTATTCAGCCAATCATCAGAAATTTAACTTTAGTTCATTTGCTGAGTTAGTTCTCTTTGTGCTGTGAAAGTCATCTAGCTTGGTTCCTTTAATACTTCTATAATCCCACTATAATTACCGATCTGAAATGTAGTCCTCAGATAACATTTTAATAATGTTGTCAGGTATTATTTTTATACCTGATAATTGGTTTTTTAGTATACGCTATTGTGTGTGTGTGTGTGTGTGTGTGTGTATGAATACACATATTACGTATATGCCTGGAGATATAAATATGATTTGGTTTCTTTTTTTTAACTAGTTATAAAAATATTTCAAAAGCCTATTTACAATCTTAAGTATGCATTTATTGATGTATAAATAGACATTTCAGAAGTGATAGTTTTGCTTACTCAAATAGAAATTGCATGTGGAACAAATATTTGGGTTTTTTAGCCCTCCTTTATACAAAAGTCATGTTATTTTGGGGGTGGAGCATGCCAAATACTTCCTCTAGTCAGGCCATTAAAGATTCCCATTAACATCTGTAGAAGCAGGACTTGTCCTGACAATTAATTTTTATTACAGAACTTATAAATATCTCAAAAAATAGCTGTTTTTAGCATCAGTCCTGACATAGCTTGCTAGAACTGGCACGTGAACAGTATACATTTATACCATACGATAGTGGCATGCAAATCAACGGCATTTGTAATGTGTTTTGCAGTTACTGAAGTGAGTACAACAGCTTGCTACAAGACTGGAAGGGCTTTCATTTCAATATTGAAGTCAGTCATTATAGAGGTTATCATTTTCATGCTCAGAAATTCATGTCATTTTCATAAATCATTCATTTCATTTCATAAATCATGCCTTGCAGCAGCAGAATGGGAACTTATTGCTGGACATTGATGAAAATCTTGTTTCAGTGACTCAGGTAAGGTTGTGACACTAAAGATGCTATAAGGAAATGTAGCTAAAATTGCCACTAGAAGTAACACAATTTGAAACTTTCAGTTCAGGATTAACTGTTCCAGGATGTAGTTAATGCCAAATATGAATAATTTAATGTAAAAGATGGAAAAATTCAACTATGTAGACAGGCTAAAAGTAGTATTAAATTATGGAAACAAAGGGTAGGGATTGCTGACCAAAACCTGATGTTGTAAATGGATGAAACTCTTCTTACCTAAAAGGAGTTGCATTCACTCACACTGGCAGAGAAACAGGTTAAGACCAGAATGCAGGATCTCACAGCCAATCCTGGGATTTGGATGGCCTTTAAATGCAGATCCTAAGATTGCTACTCAAATCTTTCTTAATAAATAGTATATTCAATTATTATCCTACTTATTTTTTAGCTCCTTAGGCCTTGGTGTATGCAACATTGCTATTGCGTGAAAATTAATTCTCCTCTGAATACATTACTCTTCTGCTGGGGCATTACAAATAGGAATTTATAAAATAATAAGTAAAGCCAAAGTTAAGGCCATTCCATCTTGCTCTGTCCAGCTGTTTTTATGGCCTCCATCACTGTAGTACCAGCATCCCTGCCAAGAGGCAGATGGTATGATCCCAGTGCATGGGTGGATGCAGGATCATAGCGGCAGGGCTATGGTCACACCACCCTTGGCTATGTGTGCATACACAGTAAAGAGTTTCTTGTGAATGTGCCACTCAGCTGAAGGGGGTATGACCACAACCCCTCGCTGTGGTCTTGAATGTCGGTGAGATCTCTGGCATGTCACCGCATCTCCTGCTGGGAGCTCCAGATTTGCCGTGGGCTTCAGAGCTCATCAGCTAGTCAGTGTAGGGGTCTATCCAGAGAACCTGCTTTCAAGCATCTCCAGACCCTGCTGCTGTTTGCTCTTCTCCTCCCTCCTTTCCCTCTCCTCTCCCTCCCCGCCACTTCTGACCACCACCAAAATTCATCAACAGGAGAAACAAAGAGACAAGAAGTGGTGAGAGCTCCAGAACTGCATGCAAGCAGGGGCTATGTGTCAGTGCTGGCCACTTCTCCCCTCTTTCGCCTGCTGCTGTGGGAACAAAGGAGGGGAAGAGTGAGCAGCAGCAGCACTGCAGAGCTTCTTGAAAGCAAACCCTGCTCTGACCAGCTGATGAGCTCATAGTGCTCACGTACATGCAGAGCTCAAAGCAAGAGCTGCCCTGGCATGCTGATAAACTCTGAGCTTGCAGTGCGTGCCATGCAGAGTCAAAGGGGGAATGTGTGACCACATCACAATCTCCCTCTGGACCTGCCTCTGTCCCAGTCTTGAATTTCCATGAATTTCCACGTCCTATAGCACTTTGAATCATCAGGGGACCAATCCCATGGGCCAGTAAGCACCCAATGAAGTGGATCAGCTGTGCTGGAATGTATTTTGGTAATATCTGTTTATAGCCTACATAAAGTTTGGCTGTTGTCACAAGACACCTCCAGGAGCTGCAGGTAATAGTCAGCATGAAGTATTATTATTCAGACTTTCCTAGACGTTTGTAAGAATAAATGGCCATGACATTTGCACACAGAACACACTGACTTACTCAGTCCTTTGTAAAAGTTGCTTCTAACAGACTTTCATATTTAATGCACTAAAGAATAAGTGGAAGCAAGTTAAAAAATGAAGGGTTCTAATCTTCTTCCCATACACATGCGCAAATCCCATTCACATTCATATAATAAAGCCCCTGCGAGACATTCAGGTAAAGGCATGATAGGATCTGATGTGTGATCTCCTGCCATGCCACACGTGCATTGCAGGAGTCATGATTGTGGGATCCAGCATCAGATCCAATCACGTCTTATTGCCGGTGCAGAGGGAGCCTGGGATTACTATTCTGGGCCCCCTGCACTGGCAAGCGGCAACCTCCTGCATCTGGGAGCCTGCAGCAGACAAGGCTTATGGCCAGGGGAGCCCCCCATAGATTGCCATGGCTGTGAACCCATAATGCATTGGCAATGTGCCACACATTGCTAGGGACCTACTTAAATCATGGTTTCACAATTTTTTTTGAAACTGCAAAAAATAACCATCTCCACAAGCACTGTGAAAAATGGGGTTGGCTGCAATGTCACACAGAATCAACCCGCCCCTCCCCCACCTTGGGCAACAAAAAAGAAGCTTATTTAAATACAAAGTTTTAAATATAATCCTTAGATTTATAATAATACACTAATTTATATGATATTTCCACAGAATTTTCTATTTAATTATGCAGTGTTTGCCTCTCGGCCAATCAGCAGCGAGGGATGGAACCACTAGGGCCCCCCCACCAATTAGTGGTGAGTGGTGGAACCGCCACAAAATGCCCGTGAAATCAACTGTGAGCTGCAAGTAGGCCACGAAAAGCCGGCTTTGCCACAATTTAAGTAGGTGCCTACACATTGCTATGGTTGTCACCGCCATCAGCTGCAGGACTCACAGCCACAGCAGCATATGGTGCACCCCTGCAGCTGGGCGCCCTGTCAGCTGGTGGGGCTCACAGCCATAGCAAGCCCCTGGCCACCCAATCAATTAATGGTGTGCTAAGAATGAGCTACAAAGTTTTCACATTTTTTGTGGAATAAATAACTTTGTGGCTTATTCCTTGCTTTGTTCCTCCGTTAATTGATTAACTGTATGGCTGGGTCACAGCTTAAGACATGATTAACTGGTTAATCACGTCTCAAGCATGATATGTAGATGGGGCCTAGGAGTCAGGCAAGATTGCTGCTCTGGGCTGTGGATTTTCAACACGTCTATTAGGCTGATGTGTCTAGAGAATAATTAACCCATTAAGTTTTTTATTCTGATGCTTTAGTGTATGAGGAAAGGAGAATGATATGATTGGTATGTTGGCTGGTAAGGGAAAATGGTTAAAACCAGAATCCCATCTAATTAATTGTTCAAGAATTATCAGAATATAATTATGTTCCACAAAAAGTAAAGAAAAATTCTTGCTTTTTTTAAGTAAGTGTTTTCATAGTTGTTGTTTTGGGGGGTTTTTTGCAATAAAATATGAAACAGCATATATTTTGTTTTTAAATTTTTTACCATAAGGTTAGAAAATTTTAGAGGGAAAAATAACTTCAAAAAAGCAAAAGAATTGAACCATCTCTATAAATTGTTTGTTATTTTTATTATTCTACGTACCGATTTATCACGGCAGGTTGATAATGATACAGTAATTCATACCGCATGGTTACAAGAGTAATATGCCTTTATCAAATACATCAGGTATTGTTCGGTATTGTACAAATCCCTTAAAAAATAAACACATAGCGTATGCTGCTACGGTAGTACTCCAGAAACAGATAAAGTAGCTCTTTCAGAGAAAATTGCTTAATGCCAAATAAAATATGAATTTTTAGGAGATTAAGGTAGAAGAAATCACTACTGTTTGTTAAATCACTATGAACCCCGTGTTAAATCACTGTGAACCATGCTCACAATATTTTAGCTTCTGCTTAGCAAGGGGCAGCAGGTTAGGTTACAATCGGAAAAAGCAAGACTTCTTCTGAATTCCTTGGACAAAAAATTGTCTTGGGCACCCTCCCCAGTCTAAATTTCTCTCTGTGGGCGGAGACAACAGAGGGAAAATACCTTAATTTTGAACATATAAATTCTCCGTGCTTATTCATTGTTTTCACTGTCCTGCATGCACCATCTTTGCTTCTGCTCAAGACTAAATAGTAATATATTCTTCTTTTTGCAGGCTGTTACCCAACTAGAGCTTTTTGGGGACATGTCCACTCCTCCCGATGTAACCTCTCCCCCAGTAAGTACCCAGGGGGAAAAGTCCAGCTCTTCTTACAGTTCCAGTCATCTTTTTACCTTGCTTAAAAACGTCTGGATACAAAGACGTCCAAGAGCGGGGAGGAAGGGGAGGCAGGGTTTCAAAATGTTTTTTAAGTCATAGTAAAATACAAGTAAACTGTGAATCAAATAAAGTAGAGGGGGTGAGAGGGATTCCTTGTTTGCCCATTACTGCTCCTCTGTGATGTTACTCGTCTTTTTAGTGTAAAAACGTGGCCTAGTATGGCAATGCTATTGGTGGCTGCAATCTTGCATTTCCTTTCTATGTGCTCTGTTGTCCTGTCTAAAACACAGCATCCCAATCCTGTAGTTGCAATAAGAGGAAGAATCTCAGAGCCAGTTATAGCCTTGTGTGAAATCACTCTTCAGTTACTTTAAAGATGACATCCAAGTGCTACAGTTGGAGAGAGAAGAAGAATCTAAAAACAAAGGAGGAAAGTGCAGATGATGTTTTAAACAGAAGACAAGCTTGGGATAAGCTTTCTGCCTTTTAGTCAATGAGAGTGTTTTTCCAAGTCACTTTAAAGCTTCACAACAGATTGTGCGCTTGAGGGGTATTAACAGGCATCTTTTCCAGACGGGGAAGCCGCATCACTGAAAGGATAGCAACAGTTGCAGACTTTTTGCTGCTGCTAGAAATAAAGTTTGGCTCTCCTGTCTCCTAATCCGTAGCATTAACAACTAGATCAGGCTTCCGCTAATGTGTAGGGCTTAGTTCCAGTTATGCTGATGAATAGATAATACTGTATAATAACATTTTCAAAATATTTGCAATCATTTTACCTTACTCTAAAATATTTCCTAGCCTATTGCCTGTGTCCCCCAACCGGGGGAGAAATCCTCAAGCCCCAAAATCATAGACCTTTTGTATTCTGAAAGAACAGATGGGGTCAATAATTTGCCCATAATACAGGATTGTGCAAAAACTTGCACTTATCTCTTCATGTTACAGAGACTTCCTTTCTCCCCCACTTATTTTCTCCTATCTCCAGCTGCTGCTGCTCTTCTTTCACCTCTTGCTTGCTCTATCAGTATCTTTCTTCTTCTCTCTGTCTCTCTGGCTGTCTTTCTTTCCCTCTCCTTTTAAAAGTAAAAGGTGTAACCAGATTTGCCCATCGTTTTGGGGTGTGCTCATTTATTAGGGGTATGTTTCTGGGGTCTCTATCAATGTGCTGCTTGTGTTACTTGCGTTTTCATACGGAGCTGTATCTCTCCCTTCTGCAAGTCCTCACTCCCTATGGAGCTGTCTTGCAGGACTCAGTTTCAATGGGGCTGGGTTCCTCCAGCCACCAAATCAGTCAAATGCATACACATACACACAGAGATTAATGTGACGTGCCTGACCCGGCTGGGTTGATCAGCATGGACAGGCTGACACCCTCATATGCCAGGAATCAGTTCATTAAGGTAACAACAAAATGAAGTCAGACACAAGCATGCAGGTGAACAGAATACCTCTGAATCAGGCTGGGTGTCCAGCTGACACCCTCATGGGCCAGCATTCAGTTCAATAGGGCACGTCTGAGCCAAACTGGATCAATCAGCCTGTACAAGCTGATCCCCTTATGCGTCTCAAATTCATCATATCCCAATCTTTTGCCCTAACTGTCCTAGTAGTGATAACCTCTTGATGAGCGGACCCTACAGTATTCTTGGGCTTTACAGGGATCTTTGGCTTAGATAAAAGAAGCATTGCTGCAGAGCAAGTGGGGAAGGGGAAATAGAGAAGGAAAAATACACCTGGTTACCGCCAGTTTGACTATAAAAGTTATTTACTGCTAAATATATGAAATGTTTGATGGTACTAGTAGTAATAGCCATGCAAGGAAAAACAAACAAAAACGATTACCATATCACCCTGGTTCAATTGAGTATTTGGGGAAACCTAGCTCAAGCTTCATTAATAAAATTCAGGTTCAGAAAGCTATGCCTTGAGAGAAAAAGAGAGAGAAAGTGAGACTGGGATCTCACCGTTCCAAGGCGCTCGGGTGTTTCGTTGACAGGCAAAGTTCCCAGCATGATCGTTGAAGGTTAAACTGGCGACCAAAAGAGACAATCTGTTTCTTCCAGCGTCTCGAGAACAACAGCGGACGGTATCAGAGAGAATTCTCCCTCTTGAAGCACGCTGTTTGCTGCTTTACAGCTTTCTTATACCCTTAGTCCAGCCTCTTCAAAGCATTCTTTTAATTAGGTACATCATTGACATGGAAAATCCTGTTATAGAAACAATTTCAATTTAAATGAATTACCTTTTTCAGTGACAAGGTTTGGAACATCTCACCTGGTTTGGAACAGCTCAAGAAACTGGTTAACAACCAGGAAAAACATAAAGTTTTAAGGAGTAACCAGACACCTAGGAGCCAGCTCGAAATTATTATGAATATAGAAGATATACTGGAAGGGATACCACATTGTTTCTTCTCAGATGGCCTAGCTATGCTTGCACTATGAAGTCAGCATCGGTGTTTTGTATTTTACCTGTTGTGAATAAGCCTCAACTTAGCATGACTTTCAGATCTTACTGTAGTCTTTTAACAGACTTCAGGGGATTGATTACTTGGATTGTTCATAAAATTTGTGGGGAGGACTTCCACCAGTGATCCCGGGAAAAGTATGACAGCATTTGTGGTCAGGGCTCCAACGGGCTGGACATTGTGATGAACACTCAACCATTATTCAAATGTTGCCCATACCCACTCTGCCTCGGTCTCTAACCCAGCAACGGAGTTTTAGTCAATCAAGTTTAAATACTCATACTGGGCCCGGGAAATGTACAGCCCAAGATGCCTTTTGAACTTTTCTTCTGCTTAGTTCTGGTTAGATGAAGTGTGTGGGAGGGGGGAATAAAAAAAAATCCTTTTTCAGTCCAGCAAGCTGAGTGCCAGGGCTCCTTCAGGAGCACAGACCTGACAGGTAACAAAGGAATGTGGCACTGCAGTGCATGCCAGCTTCCTGGCAAGCAGCAGAAACAGCAGCTGATTTATCACCAGTGTATTTTATTCCTGTCTCATTTTATAGACTCCTGCAACTCCAGGTGATGCCTTTATCCCATCTTCATCCCAATCACTTCCTGGTAGTACAGACATGTTTGGTTCTGTACCGTTCAGCACTGCTGCCGTACCCTCAGGTAAGACAACTATAGAATTATTTCAAGAGAGATTTTTGCAGTCGTTTATTTTGCAAGTATTCATTTGACAAAACCATGTGTCCTTTTCTGGCTTGTATCTCAACATCCAAAACATAAGGGATAAAAAAAGTGTTCTACTACAGAACTGTGTCTGTTCTAATAGAATTGCAAAGAGTCCGCAGTAAAGTGCTGCCGAACAAAGGCAATCCAGTTATGTACCAGATGGAGACTGCATTATAGAAACTTTGCTAAAATTCTTCTTAGGAATTAAAAAAAGAGAGCTGGGACTTAAATGAAAGTTCGGATATATTATTTAAAAACTTATGAGATATTATAGCAGGAAGACATTTACTGGTAGCTTTGAATTTGCAGTAATAACAAGGGATAGTCTGGACTATATCTAGCCAATAGGGGCAGGGTATGAGACATTAAGAATGAGTGTGCATGTGGATGTGGGTAGGGGTTAATTATTCCACTTAGTCAAATTGTAATATTTCAGCCACACTTTCCAATCTTCCTCAAAAGAGGCAGAACTTCCAGGGTTTGCCCCAGGCAGGAGAGGCAGCAGGAGCTGGGTCAGCTGCAGAAGCAATGCCAGTTGGATTAGCAGTGAAGGTGGCTTGCCCACCCTAGACGCTATCTAAGTAGGCACCTGAGACTTGTGTCATTAAGCTACTGTTCCTCAATTCTCAAAATTCAGAAATTATGGAATAATCTACATTGAGGCACAGGATGTGTTGGTTTGATTCCTGGTCTCCCCATTTCTTTCTTTTGGGGCTGCAAGAGCTTAGACCACTGCAAAAGCATCTCATTCTTACCCATTTGGGAAGGAGAAAAAGGGGGTGCCTTGAATCATGCAACAGCAACTTTCAAAATGTTTTTTCACTCTTTTGTACTGCAGCATCTGTCTCTAAGTAGAACATGGTGCATAGCCTTTCACTCTGCCAGTGGTCATGTTTGAGTTTACACTTGAAAGTAGCATGCTTCATACTTGCCCTTGCATGTCAGGTGTTTATAAAACAAAATGACTATACTTGTAAAACCATCCAATATCCCTCAACAAGAAATATTGTGGGAGCAGGGCTAGGCTTTATGGTTATGGTCATTGCCCTGACAAGGTTGTGCAATACCTTCCATCACAAAAAAAGAAAATCCATAACCACATATTTAAGTACATGTGTAGCTGTGTTGTGTTTCCTTTCATTGCTCTCAGCTAAATGATTTCAAGATCAGTTGCATATGGTTTTTACCTGGGTGTCGTGCCCCTTTACAGTTTGCACTACCATAAATCTAGAAATAAACAAAAACATACAGGGTAAGAGTAGGTTTCTTTTACGCCACGACAACAGAAAAAAAGAGAAGGGAAATGCCACACTATAAAATATTAACAGTAAATTAACATTGTTAATGTAGCACTCGGGTCTCGTATTAATATATCACATTTTGTCTTCATAAAGCATAAGTGCGTTGGTTTCTTCTTTAATGGAGATTTGCAGGGCAGAGGTTTAGAAATCTTTTCTTACATACCAAGTTGAAAGCTGCTTTCAATTAATCTTTTCTCTTACAATCATAAATGACATCGGGTCTGATCCTAGAATCCTTATTCAGTCAAAACCTCCATTAGTTAGAAAAGAAAGTTTGATATGAAAACAAGTCAATTCAAAACTTAAATAATTTATTTACTCCAGTTTTTTAATCTTCAACTCTTTAACTGGGTTTTCATTACAAAGTTCTCCCTAAAGCAGAATTTGGCATACAAAGCGCAGCATTACAGACCTTTATTTTTCCAGGTCGTAATCAGTTTTAAATCAATTCCATGGTTCCTTAGCCACTTTAGGGTGCTTTTGTAATTGGTAGTAGAAGGCAGGGGAGATTTGTACCTTATAGGCTAACAAAAAAAGTAGATACTTAATCATAAGATTTCATGAGCTTCAGAAGATGCTGTAATAAGACATGCATAGAGCAGTATTTTTTTTTCATCTGATGAAGTGAACCTGGGCTCATGAAAGCTTGCCTCCCACCCCAACCACATGCATCATATTTATTTGAAAATGTCAACCCTGATAAATTAGAGTCTATATATGGACAGTTTATAAATTTGTTTAATTTTCCAGGTATCAAATTGAAGGGTTCTCTTAAAATTGTCCTCCCCACAACAGAGAAAGCAGTGGCTGGGGTGGGGGGCAAGTCAAGTGACTCCCTTGCCCTTGGCCCCACCACTTCTTCCCCTTACAGCCTTCCTATCCCCTCCCCACCATCAGCACCCTGCACCAACTCCCTACAACCTCTGCCTCTCCTCTCCCATGCCCCACAGTC